ATGCCCTGGTATATCATCGTCAGGATGATATATATTTGGACACTCAAAGGTTGGATCCACTGTTGGATCTATGGGGTGCCAGGTACAAACCTGTTATCTTTTAACAGGTCGCAATTTTTGCGGATTTATTTGACTCTTACTACTGTTTTAAGATACTTCTCTTCCCTTCAACAATTTGACGATGAACTGGGCCATTTACTGGTCACTCTTATGACACGTTTGTTCTCTTCAGGACTTGCCTTGGTGTCATGGTTGGTCTGTTGCTGGGACTTATTGAATCGTGATGCATTTTTGGAGAGTATTCACTTACTTTCTTCTGCCCTTCGAGATTTATGGGAAATGCCTTTTCTTAGGCCTTATTTATTTTCTGGAATTCCAGAATCTTTAGAAGCCAGAGTTGATACAGCACGTTTGCAGTATTCTGTATCCTCTTTGTCTGCTCAACCCTATTCTACTTCCACTTGTACTTCTGCATGCTCATCCCCTCATGTCTCAAAGCTCCCTCCTTCCACTCTTCATTCCATTGATTCTCTTAATTGTTTCTGTCCTTCTTCTCTGGAGATATTTTGAGGGCCGGTATGTGGACTTCTCCCAACACGTTCATATCTCATTACCTTCACTATCTGGCAGTTTCCTCTTCGAAAGGACTTCGTCTTCCCTTGTGGCTGTGGTGACTACCTCTACTAGATTTTAACAGGGTGGTGAGTAACATGTTATCTGACTTGCAGTTATTGTTCCATTCTCTTCTAGGGTCCCTATTGATTTTTTTTTGGATCCCACTTAGTAGCGAGTGTTGCCCAGTCAGGTATGCAAGTGTTTAAATTCCACACTAGCAACCTTTATATCGGTTCCTGGTTGCAATGAGCTCTGTTGAGATGAGTTGTTCCATAAGACCATCTGGATGCAATTCTGGATGGTGATATCATATTACAATATTTCTAATGGACTGCTACTCATGTACTATCATGAGTAAAGCTAAAGGGGATTTTGCCAGTCCCTGCTGATCTTAAAGCTGAATCATTCAAGATCAGTTTGCTTTTAAAAATTAGGGAACATGGTTCACCTGTTGCACTGTCTCTGAAAACTTGTTCCTCAGGACTCCCCAGCACTTATGTTCCCCCCCTACTTCTACTAGTGGAGTTTGGGAGTCCTTACCACACCCAGTTCCCAGCCACTGGGGTGGTGGACAGAGGATTTACCTTTGGAGTGTTGAGTTTTCTCCACTCTCAGAGAAGAAGGTGAAGTTGGGGACCTTCTTATCTGGGACTTTGGAAGTTTTTTCCCAGATTTTAGTAGGAGTAGGATCAATCTATGTGGGAGCCTACTCATAAAACCAGTCCAGATTTGATGCTGAGCTATATGGTGGGGGATGCTTGGACCCTCTTATGAACACTGTCAGGTTTTATGTTGTTCATGCATGGATTCCACTATCTCCTCATAAATCTGAACGTGACATGGTCCCATCTTTGGTCCTTGGTGGGACAGTGTTCCACATCCTCTCCTTAATTCCATGGGCAAGCAGAATTCTTCTTGGCTACTTGGTGGGGCGAGTAAAGACAACTGTTTGAAAATCCAGACTGGATGAGTTCTGGACTTTGGTGGAGCATGGCATTTGATCCTGTCAATCCAGACCTGGGATGTTGCCTTTTGGACTTCTTCAGGTTGATCAGAAGGATTGTCCATTTTGGTGTTGCTTTCTTTCATTCATAAATTTGGTGGTTCTATCACAAAGATGTATATATCTGTGCTCCAACTGTCCAGGCCATCAATGTGGGATTTGGGTACTATGACCCCTTAAATCCAACCTCGTCTGTTTGTTCAGGGCTGGACCATCATACTTGTATTATATTCCACTCTTTTCAATTTTCTGTAGTTCTAGGTGAAGAGTATACCTGTTCTAGATGTAGTGCGGTGTTCCCCACTCTTATACCACTTCTCTGCAGATGCTTTCTGTATGATCTCTGTCTTCACTAGCCCCTCTGCCTTCTCAGTGTGGGATTCTAGCTATTAGTGTCAGCAGAGGTATGTATGTTTTGAAAGTTATCATTTTCCTAAATTGAAAATGTATTTCCAAACATATTTACCTCTGCTGACACGCGTCCCTCCCTTCCTCCCCACTAAGAGCTGGTGTTAGTGACCGGAATGTGGTAAGACTCGAAAAAGTGATTTTATTGTCTGTATACAGTGCTTATATACAGCACCTGCATAGAGGGCGTGTGAGGGCCAGTGTAAGGTTTTGCAAATTAGATATTGCCGAGGGCAATCGAGTGGGATATATAAAGACTGGAGCAAGCGAACACAATGTTATATGGCAAAGATGAAGATCAAGAAATCGCTATTAGTGTCAGCAGACGTAAGTATGTTTAGAAATACATTTTCAATTTAGGAAAATGATAACTTTGAATACACAATTGTAAAAATACCTTACAGAAAACTATTTATAAGCTTTCTTCCTTTTATTTTCAAATTTGTGAAAGAAACTTTACCAATAACTTTCTTTGTTCACCAGTAATATCAGTATGTGCTAATCAGCTTTCTTGTGAACATAATAATGTTATTAAAGGTTGAAGGTTTTTTGGACTTTATAATCGTAAATATGAATTTCTTGTTTTTGAAGTTTTATTCTTAATTTCTAGATATTTTTTCTAACTTTAAACTTTTTTATTTCAATTTAAGTTCTTTGTTTACTTAAAAACAAAAAATTGTTTGATGGACTATATATGGACTTCATATGGACTATATTTTATCGTGCTAGAATGGTGTACTAATAAGTAGGTAAGACTAGGTTTATGCTTGTGCATTTTTATGGTTTGTGACAAAAGTGGAGAGATGTGATCAGTGTAACGGTTTCTGAGTTGTGTCATGGATCAGTATTGAAGGCTCTCATTATCTTGCTTATTATATGTAACCTCATTGTGGATGGTCAGTCTAGACTATGTGGATGCCAGTCTTAATGTCCTTACTTGTCCAGAGTGTAAAAGAGGTTCTAGTTCGAATGAGTGATATGGAATCTAGCTCTACCTTTTGATTTATTTTTGGTTTGTTGTATGAAACCATAGTACTTAAGTCTTTTTATTTTGGATTCATTATTGCAGGTACATTATTGTTATTACTTGAAGCATAGAATCTGTTTTCATTTATTTGTAATTGGTCACAATAGGACTGATAGTGTGAATTATGGTAGATTAAGAGTGTGCTGATTCAATGTTAAGAAGTTAGACTTGTCTTCAACTGTGTACCTAAATCTTTTAAGTATGTCCATAAAGAAGCAGTTACAACTCACTCCTGTACAGATTTACAAAATGGAGACCAGGGAATAATCAAAGAAGATGGTTATTTTCTGTCTTGTGTGTCTTTTGGGCACAGATGTCATTCTTTAATTAGGTTTTTAGATTGACTGTTTACAGAGGAATTCTAATGGAAATTTTTCTTATCGTGGGAACTAATGCATTATATATAGTTATTGTATAGTGAAGTCTTTATCTTGACCTAGTCCTTGTATAGGTTAGAATAACTTCTAATCTTTTCTTTATATATCCCCTTCCTTTTTCTCACTCCTATGCTGATTCCTTCATTTTGTCTAGAAAGGTAATTGACTGTTTCTTTGAGATTTGTTATAGATGTGTTCAGCAAATAAAAGCATTTTGGGAGGAGAGTGGGACAGGTTTATGGATGGATTACTTAGAACTTTTCTTTTGAGAGTTTAGGATTGTCTACTGTTGGATGCTCACAGAATTACACAAAGAGTACAGGATGCACCTGTCTTTAAGTATCCTTTCATTTTGTTAACATGGAGTTTCAATAGCATTTAACTTTCCAATTTTTTGGCTCGTCACAGCCCCATCTTTTCAAAACAGAATAATTTGTAGATTCCTGCAAATTTATGATGGAACAATTTAAGAACAATATTTTTAGAGAAAAAATAAGTAGTGTATTAAAATGTTTCTTAATATACATTTTGCATTGGGGATTTCTGCTTATAAGTGGTGTTTTGAACTAAGTGGTGACATCATGAAGAAAACAACAATGCATATATATGACATTTATACTTTAGAAAGGTCATTTATCATTTCTGTATGCGTATGTACTTAACCCTTAGACAATTGCATACTGTTTAAACTCTTTTTTTTTGTGCATTTTACAAACTTTCAAAACGTTCAAAACTTACAATTTACTATTAATATATGTCAATGAACTTAGCATTATAGTGTACATTATGATTCAAAGTTTTAATTCCTTTGTTTCAAAAGAAACCTTTAAAAATTATTTAAACTTCAGTTTTGTTGTCATGTGACACATAAACATTCATAAATCTTAACTTTTGGTCTATAATTTGAACGATACTACACCTACAACTGTACGTGCATGTCTAGACAGAAACTGCATTTATTATGCTATTTACCTATGTTTGTTCCAAATTCCTTCAGGTCAATTCAGTGACCACAAGAAATAAATTTTCCCACCCCTTGACAGAAGCCATGTCCATATTATATACTTAGACTTGAAATTTACAAGATGTAATTATTTGACATACATTTTTATCGCCAACAGAAAGAGCTCATTTTAAACTACAATCTCCCAATAGTTATATTAAAACTGGTATGCAGTATTCATTACCAAATGCATCTAACAGCTGAAGTATTGTTTCTGCATTTGTCAGTTTGTGAGGGTTAACTTACTACTAGTGTATATCCCTGTCAATGATACCGTAATATGCTCCTAGGGCACCTTTTGATGTGTGAAGACGAAAAATAAATGATAAAGGACAGGAAAATAAAATAAAACATTAAAATTAAACTATAAGTGAAAAGGCAAAGATGTGAAATTACAAATTTAACTCGAAGGTATTTTAACATCATTCGATGAATAGTTAAAAGGTATGTATATATTTCTATTTCTTAATTTTAAACATCTTTTTTCACTCTGTGTTGATGATAATAGCCTCAGATAATGATGTGGTAGAGAAAATGAAAAATAAAATATATAATTTTTTGGATATTCATTTAGGAGGTTCTCGAGGTTATGCAAAGGAAATTTTAAAACTGTAAGATGAAAAAGTATTTTTATACTTAACATGAAAATCACCCTGCATTTGAACTGTTTAGTGTCTGAATGCAAATAAATATAATAAATAACAAATTTTAGTAGAAAAAATCAAAATTAAATATTTTGTTTTTCTGAAACTACATGTTTTTGAAAAGTTCCTATTAAGTTTCAAACAATTTAATCTACTGGTTTTATTTTTAGATCAAAATTTGATGAAAGCTACATTACACCTTTGAAATAGTGATATGATAGTTAAAGGGTTAACAGGAATGGTAAATTGTTTCAGTTTTTGGTTTGAACATTTGCTCGCTGGTTGCTGCCAATTGGCAGAGGACAGATTTAGCAATCATCACAATGTTTTTAAAGCTGGTTTACAACTAGTGGAAGTATGGTTGCCTTGAAATAATTCTGGCAAATTAAGTGTGTATTAGTACTGTAGACGTTGTCTATTTGTTATCTGGTGTACAGTAAATAGTGTTTCGTTTTTGTGAGATTTATTTATTTGCAACTGTGATTTCATCTTCACATACTTCAGTGGCTGGGAACTATATTTCTTCTTACAATCATCTGAGCTTTTGCAGACTACTTACCTGAAAATAAGAAACCACAATAAAGAAAGGAGTATTAGAAAAATGAGTTCATACATGGATGTCTCTTTAACTCCTTTCTATTCACAAATAATGTTAATTGTCTTTTGAGGAACTTGTAGTAGAGATTAAAGTGTAAACAAGTTAATATGTAAACGTGATGAAAAATCCTTAATCTCTTTGTTTTTGAAATGCTCATTGCTTTAAATTTAATCTGACATAACCGTATTATAATGAAGTAGCATAAAGATTATTTTTCAGGTATTATATCCTGCAAATTTTTTAGAACACATTCATTGTTTTGTAGGTTTATGGGGCAGCTGTTACATTTTATGAGAAGTACAAAGATGAGAAGCTTTCTTCTGCATCTAAAGCACAGTTGGGTTATATGACAGATGATGACTGTAAGAAAAAAAGCTTGCATGTAAACAAGGCTATATGTATTCTCTCACGGTGGCCATTTTTTGACACGTTTGAAAAGTTTTTATTGCAACTTCACCAAATATCCATAATGGGCCCTCACCGGCTACCTCTGGAAAGGTCAGTTTGAACTCAGAAGCTGTAAAACATTATTTACATGATAGCTTTGTAAGTGTTTTGAAAGAATGTTTGAAAGACAGAATTATATAAAAGAATTCACTAAATAAAATAGTTATAGAATAGTATATTTTTATCTGACTTAAAAATAAGTGAAAAGGCATCAATGAATCATTCCTGAAAATGGAGTATACTTTAGTAAATTGGTAGTGTTTATGTGACATTACAGGTACATCTCGCACTTCATGATGGATGTTCCTTTTCCGTCCGCTCAGCGGCCACGGATACTTATTCAGGTATTTTATCTTGTTATGTATAATATTATATTTTTTTATTTGTTGTTTTTAAATTTGAAAACCTTAGCATTCGTATTGTATTATACAACAGAACCAGGTCACAAATTCTTTACAATTATCATAATGTGAAATTATGTATGAAAACAAGACTTGATAAGAATTTTATGTAAGTATTTGAAATGAATTTTTATTTATGTATTATTATTAAGATTACATTGTTGTAATTTTAATAAAAGTATATTTTAAATGTTGGTATAAACTGATCAACTTTGATTTTAACATTATATGCTGATTTCTGTGAATACGAGTTATTAAAATCAAGCACCTAGTTTTTTATTTCCAGAAAGATACTTAAAAAAAGACAAATTATGTTATTTCAAAGTTTTAAATTGTGTGTATATGTCTTTTAATATTATAAATGCAAGCATTTAAAAATACAGAAAACATATCATGGGGGAATGAGTGTTCATCTCTTATCCATCTGAATCAATATTAACACTTATCATTTCTTTCAGTTAGGAGATAATACTATTTCCTTGGCTCAACCTGAAGATAGTCCACTACTTCTAAGGTAAGCAGTGAGGCATTAGTCCTTCAGCAGGATAACTTTTGATTCTGATTATTGAATGAATGTGTTGAAGTTGTTTGTCACCCATATTCAGACTGTGATATCCTTTGACATATAAAAACTAACTCTAAACTGTTATAAGTCTCCAGTTTAGTATTGTGAATGTTTTAATGTTTTTATTAACATGACTGAAACCTGTATAGAAAGTTTATCTATGTAGTTCTGTCCTAATCACAAGTGTCTTAAAAATACATAAATGAAAGAGTTTTAAAATTTTGTCAACTTTTTTTACTCTTTTATCCCTATGACAATGATCTACTTACAATTATTATACTGTAAGTAGGTTACTTAACTCTCATGACAGTTATTTACAAAAATGAAGCTAGGGGATGAAATTGTTTGAAATTTGACATGAACGTTCCTAAAAGTATGTAGATTCAGAAAAATACAACATTTAATTTTGATGTTTTGTACTATTTCTAAAAAAAATTTGTTATTTTATGTAGTTATTTGCACTCGCACTCTGAATAGTTCACATACAAGGTGATTTTCATTTTAACTATAAAAATACTGTTTATTATCTTAGTTTCACATTTCCTTTACATGATCGCTTGAACTTGCTAAAAGAATATCAGAAGTTATTTTGAGGTGAATGTTTATATTTTATTTTAAATTTTCTCAACTAACTCTATCTATTACCATCAACATACAGTGCAATGAAATGTTTAAAATGAATAAATAGAAATATGTACATACCTTTCAACTCTTCGTAGAAATCGTAGAATAGTCGTATTTTTCTTATATGCCTAATTTCACGTCTTTTCACTTATAGTTTATTTTTAATTTTCCTTTCAAATTCTTCATCTATTATCATTTATGCTTATACATCAACAGATGTACAAGGGGCTTTATGAAGGTATTTTGGCAGACTCCTCACAAAGACGCCTTACCGAAACAAGATAGTGCTTATACACACCATCTTGTTTATAGAGTTAATGGAGTTTGCAAAGATATCATATTTCTCTTATAAGAGCTTGAACTTTGAAAATGTACAAGGATTGACTGGAGTTAGTTTGGTCATGAGAAGGTTATTAACTCTTTTGACACGGGCTTGGTCCCTGGGACTGACCTCATAACCATAACCTCATTATAGTTTACATACTAATAACTTTTAATATTTTAAGTGTATGTTTACAAAATTTTGTAGACATATAGTAAACATTAGAAGCCTTTTGCACACAAAAAAATCAGATTTTCTAATGAAGTATTTTTACTTAAATTTGTTCGTGAAAATATCGATTTTTTTTCTTTAACTAGTCTGAGTGCAAAGTGATTTTCATGTCAAAATTAAAATACTTTTTGTCATCTAAAAAATCTCAAATTTCCTTTGTGTAATACCTAAAACCTCCTAAATGCATTTCAAACGTTTTTTTCACCAAATCTTTATAGTTTTTAAGTTTTTTTTCACTACCGTAATTCAAAAC